TTTGTCTGTCTGTCTGTTGTCAACTTTACAGTCCCTGAAACGTTCTACTTTCCCATTTTTCCGTTCGCTCATCGTTCGTTCACCGTTCGTTCAGCGTGCGTTCACCGTTCGTTCACCGTGCGTTCACCGTTCGCTCTCCGTTCACAGTTTTGCGTTCACCGTTCACCGTGCGCTCGCGTTCACCGTTCACAAAGCGTTCAGCGTTCGCTCTTCGTTCCGTTCACTTTGCGTTCACCTTGCGTTCAGCGTTCACCTATCGTTCAGTTTCCATTGTCATTCGGAACTCCGAAGTGAAAGGACTTATCTTTTTGTAGGGAAGGAGTTACAGGTTTTTTAATTTAATAACTAACATATCGTGTTTGAGGAATCATTATTTCATGGGGAAAAATATCTACGATATATATTTTTATTATTCTAACTTAGCTGTTAGGTTATTTATTAAATTACTGGAAAATAAATGTTGTTATAAGTACATTCTGTACCTATGTAGAACGATGCTGAAATATTAAATTTAACTAAGGGCAATGTGCAAATACCTCAAGCACTGCAACATTTTGTTTTTTTGTTAAAGACGACAAATCGTTAATGGTGATATAATTATCCAAGTCAAATAATTACGCAGCAAAATTACGAAAATATTTATTTCTAAAACGTTTTTTTTTAATTAGTACAGAAAATATGATAGAACTAGTTCTGAGAGTTATACATAGTACTGGGGATGTCCTGTTTATTATCTTTGGAGCGAATTAAATTGATAGTGTGGTTAAAAGAAATATTTATTTGAAATGTACTGCACTACAGAATTTTCTCTACTATAATATGTAAAGTCTATAGTTATAGAGAAAAAAATCCTCTCTTCACCGTAACTTTATATGTTTGCCATTCGATATGATTAATACCCCCTCACCTTTCCCCCTAAATCGGTTACTTAGTCAGTACTGCATTTCCAGAATATTTTAATTAACATTTTTTAAAGAAAGTTAAGGTCTTTTTTAGAACAAAAATTTCAGTCTCAAAACAAACATGCATCTAAAAAATCACAAAACAATAGTTACTGTAGTTCAAAATGTACACGTGTCGGCGGTGGTATTTGAAATTGGCAGAGAGTATGTAACAAATTCAAGTGTTAATGCTAAATGTATTTTATTCATTTATTATTCAAATGTTGGAATCAAATCTAGAAATGATAAAAATAAATGTTATAACTTGTTGGAAATACTTGCACTCCGTCTTCGATGTGACGAAACTTTCACACCTGCACAGTGTCGAATGATTTTGATTGACAGGACAAGCACGTGGACTTCGTGTGAAATCGAAGCAGGAACATAAAACGAGTATGACTGTCAAACAAATGGATATGATTTGTTGATTAAAAAAAGTTACTTTCACTGTCTGATATATTTAGAAAAAAAAATCAGAGTTTTTGTTTGATATAGGTACAAACATTTAGTGAAGCCTGAAAGGAGGGGGGGGGACTAAAACGGAATATTTCTCTCTCTCTCTCTCTCTCTCTCTCTCTCTCTCTCTCATTTGTCTGTTTAATAAAAACTATAACAGCATATTACTTAAATATCAAGTTCTGAAAATTGAATTTATAACAAATAATATGAATATGTATCTTTGTATTATCTTGTCCGAGTATAACCACGGCCATCTACATATACATGTAGAAGTTTGCTCAATAAATCATCATGAAAAATAGAAATGACACATAATATATTATTATATTAAAAATTTAAAATACGAGCGTATAAATGCAAAACGTCCACTGACCTTTGTAATTAATTTTTTTTTTTTGATTAATTTACAAGAAATCGCCTTGACACGGAGATATATGAATGGATGTTACAACCGCTTTAATTCATTCTATAAGTCAGAAGTTTTCTCTGATTTGTTATCAAATAAGAATAAAAATTTTTATTTTTCAACTAAAAAAATATCTTTTATACTTCAGCATTCGATAACAATTGCAATGTTTTAATGCGATAAAAATCGTGTGATTAAAAACTTTATGTGCATGCATCGTCTTTCTTAGGACAATTTTGGAGAATTTATTTTATTGACTTAAATATTCATTCATTTATTGGTTTACTTATCTATTATTTATTTATTTATTTATTTGGCACCTGAAAATATAATACAATAAAATAGTTTCAATGCAAGGAAAAGATCAGAGGTATTCCGAATATATCGTTCATCTTGCGTTCACCGTTCGTTCACCGTTCACTTTGCGTTCGCGTTTGCGCTCCGTTCGCGTTCAGCGTTCACTCACCGTTCAGCGTTCACACATCGTTCACCAAGTTGCGTTCAGCGTTCACACATCGTTCACTCACCGTTCGCTCTGCGTTCGTTCAGCGTTCGTTCACCGTTCAAGTGGGAAAGTAGAACGTTTCAGGGACTGTAACCTTGCCCATAACTTTTGATTGGTTGGAGCTATGACTTTCATATTTCACATGTGTATTCCTTGTGACAAGACCTTTCTTTGGGTATCATCATATTTGACCTTTTGACCTTGGAGTTTGACCTACTTTTGCAAAATTTTATGAGACTTTAACCTTGGCCATAACTTCTGAGCAGTTGGTGCTTGGGGTTTCAAACTTCACATGTGTATTCTTTGTGACAAGGCCTTCGTTTGGATACCAACAACTTTGACCTTTTGACCTTGACCTTGGAGTTTGACCTACTTTTGAAAAACTTTAACCTTGGCCATAACTTCTGAGCAGTTGGTGCTTGGGGTTTCAAACTTCACATGTGTATTCTTTGTGACAAGGCCTTCCTTTGGATATCAACCACTTTGACCTTTTGACCTTGACCTAGGAGTTTGACCTACTTTTGAAAAACTTTAACCTTGGCCATAACTTTTGAATGGTTGATTCTAGGGCTTTCATACTTCGCATATGTAATCCTTGTGACAAGACCTTCCTTTGGGTACCAACCACTTTGACCCTTTGACCTTGACCTAGGAGTTTGACCTACTTTTGAAAAACTTTAACCTTGGCCATAACTTTTAAATGTTGGTGCTAGGGCTTTCATACTTCACATATGTAATCCTTGTGACAAGATCTTCCTTTGGATACAAACCACTTTGACCTTGACGTTTGACTTTTATTTAAAAAACTTTAACCTTCGCCATAACTTCTGAACAGTTGTATCTAGGTCTTTCAAATTTCACAGGTGTATTTCTCGAGACAAGACCTTTCTTTGGGTATCAACTTTTCTTATCTTTTGGCCTGGATTTTGACTTGCATTTGAAGAAACTTTAACCTTCGCCATAAGCTGTCATACGGGGGCATCAGTGTTTCACAAACAGATCTTGTTTTGTACATGTTTTAAAAACTCCTAAAAAAAATTCTCGAAATCTTTCATAGCTTAGTTCATACCATCTCCATTTTTGTTTAGTCATTTACTATCACAAAGCTTTTCAAATATACTCTGTGTTCCTTTTCACTGTCGCGTTACTTAAGGCATGTTAAGGGTTCTTTTATACAAGATAACTATACTCATTCCATTTTCTATCAGTTCATTACTTTAAGATGTTTTATACAGGAACAGCCTGACACATCACCCCCCCCCCCCATCAGCTTAGAAATCCTTCTACAAGGAAATGTAATTTAAAAAAAGAAAAAAAAGTAATACACAATGGAAAAGTTTTTCATACAGTAACTATAATGAACAAGATGTGTTTGTGAAACACTGATGCCCCCGTATGGCAGCTTATGGCGAAGGTTAAAGTTTCTTCAAATGCAAGTCAAAATCCAGGCCAAAAGATAAGAAATGTTGATACCCAAAGAAAGGTCTTGTCTCGAGGAATACACCTGTGAAATTTGAAAGACCTAGATACAACTGTTCAGAAGTTATGGCGAAGGTTAAAGTTTTTTAAATAAAAGTCAAACGTCAAGGTCAAGGTCAAAGTGGTTTGTATCCAAAGGAAGATCTTGTCACAAGGATTACATATGTGAAGTATAAAAGCCCTAGAATCAACCATTCAAAAGTTATGGCCAAGGTTAAAGTTTTTCAAAAGTAGGTCAAACTCCTAGGTCAAGGTCAAAGGGTCAAAGTGGTTGATATCCAAAGGAAGGCCTTGTCACAAAAAATACACATGTGAAGTTTGAAACCCCAAGCACCAACTGCTCAGAAGTTATGGCCAAGGTTAAAGTTTTTCAAAAGTAGGTCAAACTCCAAGGTCAAGGTCAAAAAGTCAAAGTTGTTGGTATCCAAACAAAGGCCTTGTCACAAAGAATACAAATGTGAAGTTTGAAACCCCAAGCACCAACTGCTCAGAAGTTATGGCCAAGGTTAAAGTCTCATAAAATTTTGCAAAAGTAGGTCAAACTCCAAGGTCAAGGTCAAAAGGTCAAATATGATGATACCCAAAGAAAGGTCTTGTCACAAGGAATACACATGTGAAATATGAAAGTCATAGCTCCAACCAATCAAAAGTTATGGGCAAGGTTAAAGTTGACAACAGACAGACAAACAGACAAACGGACAAACAGACAAACAGATAAACAGACAAACAGACAGACAGGACAAAAACAATATACCCCCGGGATCTTTCGATCCGGGGGCATAAAAATAAAAGAACTGAAACGATTAGTGTTATGGGTTTATTTAAAGTACAGGAGTAATTAGAAACTCGTTAGAAAGTATTTTACATAAAATACATGGAGTTAATAAGGATAAAACCATTAAAACCAAAATTGAAGTTTGGAAAACCACGAACTGAATTTAAAATTGTAATCATACTATTTTAGCCTGTAAAAATGATCTATCTGAAAATTTAAATATTACACGCACACCAAAAAAACCTCGAGCATACAAATGAATCTTACCTGTATAAACGTAATAAGAGACACTGAGACACTGTTCGTTCGCCAATGTGTGACTCAAATGATCTAAAACATGTAGGCATACAAAAGAATTGTACTTGTATAAATGCAACAAGACAGACACTGTTCGTTCGCTCACCCATTCGTGTCTTCACCAGGCTAATAGTTTCTTTTGTTGCCTAGGCTGTCTTCCCCTACCATTAAGTTTCTGTTGTTGACTAGGGGAATATATAAAGTCATGTTAACTAGAGCGCAGAGGTTCTTACTTTTCATCCGTGTTAACGGCGACACAAGTATCTTTGGCCAAAATGGATGCATTTATATCTTTCTGTGTTTTCCTTTCGGTGGTTCTTCCAATACACTCGGTTCCAAGAATTGTGGACTTGTCTTATCAACAAGACGATGACGCAATCAGCTGGCCTTCCAATCCGCCGTATAATTTTACCAAACTCTATCGGGGATTTTACGCAGAATTCAATATCTGGTAAGATGCAAGCACGGCCGTAGGAACCGGGGTGGGGGTTGTTCAAGGGGCGTGGCCCCTGAATTATTCTGCTGATATAAAGTATACTATAGAAAACAAAACTACTTAATGGATGTGCCCCCTCAATACGAGGGTTGTCCCAGAAAAACGCGAACATTTTCAATATTTTTTGTTTCACTAATATTTTAAAGTTAAAAATTAATATCCACCATAATAACATTTTTTACGTAATTCACAAACATTTCAATAAAATATCTCTATAAATAACATTTTTATCTTTGATCAACGAATCATTCAAAATAACTGTCGGCGCAACACCAACGACGTCAAAACGTACCTCGTAAAATTTTTAAATTTGTTCAGGAAACGCGCATCTTTAAAAAATTGTTCGAAGCATAAATTCGATACTGCATTTGATTTTCTTTTAGATATCGAGTTATCAATTTCACACTTGCTACAGTTAAGAATAAATCAAGGAATTAATTCTTTTGATAGACAATTTCCCAGTCATAAATCGAACTGTTCGCATAGTTAACGGCGGTCTCCACGTATATGACGTCCAGCTGTAGACTTTGTGGTTTTCATTTTTGTAGGTCTACTAAACGCTTCTCCCATCGGAAAACTAGCGCATCCATCTTTGAACATCTTTTACTATGTATAAATCAGTGTTTGATACATGTATTTGTGTCGTTCCCTCGTTCCCGGATCTTCTATATGAACACGGGTCATACCCCGCTCCACAAAGTACTGAGTGATAATTTGGTGCGCCGCATTATCGCCCGACGTCACCGTTTTTGACAATGTCTAACTAATAGTGTTTGTGCAAATAACGTCATATTTTTATTATTTATAATGTCAGAGTTTTGATTTTTTACACACGAATACTCTAGATCATACATTTCTATGGATGTAATTTTGGTCACATTATATTTTCGTTTAGCCAGATAAAAAAGAAAACATCTCTGTCAATGCAATTTTTGAAAGTTAAGAAATTGCCATGCGCCGACCACCGATATTCAACACCCTTTTAATGCTGTTTCTAAATGCATATAACATTACAACCTTATATAATTATGCTAAAATGACAAAAATATCATTTCGCAACATTGTGCCAAAAATGAATAATTTTGGTCATGTAGTTTATGTAATATTTAAAAAGTTCGCGTTTTTTAGGACAACCCTCGTAATTACATGTACGTCTGATGCCTTTTTCATTTTATTTTTTCCTTTTTCTTTATTGGTTGTCAAGTGATTTTTGCTTGGTAGTGCCCACAAAGTGTTTGGTTGTGCCCACCAACTGAAATTCCTTCATACGGGCCAGGTGTCTTCAAAACTGGTTTTTTCCACCTAGGACTTTCACGGTTGAAATGCGAAATAGGGTACATACCCAATTTGAGGGTGCTTTAAAGTTCTAATGAACCGTACACAGAAAACGTTCTATCTTAAGTTTAAAATGTAACATTAAATACTTTATCATTTTTAATAGACCTAGACTAGAGCAGCCCCTTGTAAGCTGACACAAAAACAAGTTTTCCTACTAGACAAACTACTATTTTGTTGTGTTTTGCTTAAAGACGGTGAAAGCACAGTTTAGTTTTATGCCTTATTGAGCACTGTAAGATTTATAACGCTTCACTTACACTGTACATCTATACTTATGCCCTGTTCACACGGAGAGTTTAATTCGCAGTAAATTAATTCGAAGTAAACTAATGCGAATTAAACTAATGCGAATTAGATTGCGTTCACACGAGAGCGACTGCGAAGTAAACTAATGCGAATTAAAATTATATTTCTACAGTAAGGCTATTCTGTAAGCCTATTATGACGTCATTTTCAAATCACGTCACATTGTGCAGAGCAGGTACATTTTACATAATTAATGTCATAGTGTCTGTACCCATTTTATTGATTAACATAATTTTCTTTGGTTTTCCACTCAAAAATAGCACAAGTTAGTATATCTGACCACCGACAAGTGGTCTTTGACTTAATTCTGCCCTTACGCATGCGTCAAAATTTAATTCGAATTAGCTTCGCTTAGCGTTCACACGGAGCTAATGCGAAGTAATTTAATGCGCAGTAAATTAATTCGAATTAAACTAACTCGCATTAAATTCTCCGTGTGAACGCGGTTCAAATTTAATTCGCAGTAACTTACGTTTAATTCGAATTAAACTCTCTGTGTGAACAGGGCATAATATTATTAATATTTTTATTTATTTTGGAGACATAAAAAACCTCCTCTATGCAGCACAAGGACGTATCTTACACGTAATGCAAGCATTTTTACATTATTGACTGTGCATTGTTTAGCCCCATATTTTAGTATATTCGTATTAATTATCACCAGCTGTGAAAGAGAGAGACCAATTTCACATTTTTTTTACCGTTTCTGTAATTACGCAGTCTATACTGAAGGCTTCTAAGGGCAATTAAAATGTATATCTAAATATATACAGTGTGTAAGGCCTTCTTTTAAAAAAAATGTGAGGTTGCCCTCTCCCGACTGACTGGCTAAAATGGCCCGACTCAAAAAAAAAATTATATGCCGATTCATTTTTTTTTATTTGAGAGGGCAAACAAACGCTATTTCAAAGTTGGTTTGACTGGTTTTCAACATTTATCTATCTGCATTCCTTTTTTGGGTGGGTGGGTGGGGGGGGGGGGAACAATATATTTCAGGATGCATTATTTTCTATGCTTACCCAAAATAATTTTCGAAAATAATTTCCTATCGACAAAATAAAAGATTGAAATGGTGTGTATTGAAATATTATCTCATAATTTTATTTTATCTTCGATAAAATAAAACAAAGTCTTCAAAACAGTTTAAAAGTATGTCCGCGGCAGAGAATTTTTCACAACAATAATCTAGATGTGTTCGAGGGCGTTCAATACACTGATCAAGGTCTATCATATAATGTCTCTGTTTTAGGTAATCTCTATCCAGAGTTATCGTTCCACTATTACCATAATACTAATGTTGTAGCGAAGCGTAAAACGCCCTCTGGTGAGAGACTGATTTTTAGGTAGACCAAGGTAGTAAGAGTTATCTGCCTTTTAAGCTAAAGTGATTTCAAAATTGATTGTTGATTTGTATGTAATTATAAATAAACTAATTATTCTTATAATTAGATTAAAAATTATCCACAGATATCCTTCTTTCTTATAATTTTAATTCAAATTATAAAAGTTCTTAAACAAGGCATGGATAGAATTCAAATTTTAAACCTAGATTCTTTACTTTGTCTATCATACAACCCCCCCCCCCCCTTAAAGAAAAAACAAAACAAAATAAAACCTGGTTCTTGATGTTTCAAAATTTCAATTATGCTCCAGTAATGCCAAGAGTGGATTTATGATTATCATATTTTTTTTATTTTTTTAATTAGAAATGGAGGTGTGTTAACATGCCAAACAAATCAATAGAAATGACAATTTGAGGAAAATAAGAACAAAGTGTATCAATACCTCACATACATGTATGTCCCTTTTTAATACTAGTAAACACATGCTCCACCCCCTCAATTTTTGACACAGTATACTCATATTCTATGTTAATATATTAAGGGAAAATCTTGTCAAAAATTTTAGAACCTATATACAATACTCTTTTTCCTTGCTTCCCATTTCTCAAATTTTCAAAATCATGCAGTACGTGCACCTGTAAGAAAAGCCCACAATCAAATGGGTCTATGGATACACAATCAAAATTTCACTGGAGTTTATGCAAGCTTTGCTACCCTCCTTTTCACAAAAAACACATTATTTAGAAATTTGCTTCCAATATTATGGAATGTTCCGAGAACTTCATTAGTTATTTGATGTAATAATATGTACTGGGGTATATGTAAATATTTTACCAGCATTTCCAATGGATCCTTCTAAATGAGATTTATTAGCAACAGAAATATCAACACCAACCTTTTACAATCATTTAATTTCATATGATGTATATTAACTCATACATGAATTACCTCACACAGTGTGAAATATAAACAACTTTCTTTGTGCTTACATATTTCCTGATATTTTTCAAAAATTGATTTCATAACATGAAGATACTTTTTGATCAACACTCAATATCAAGTTGAACTGTCTTTAGCAATTGTAACTATTTTTTGCACCTTTCCAAAAAATTAACAAGCTCTTCATCACGTACCAAGATCATGAAGACTGTAAACAAATAAGTACAAATTTCATCATGAAATCTTATTTACATCAAAACATGAATGAAATTGTCCTTTTTCACAAATACCACTGGGTCACTAATCAAGTCAACATGTACCATCCTTTGGTAAAGGGCCTTCTTCTCAAAGATGCACACACCACCGTCTCTTTCTGCCAATGGAAATACATCAATAATGCCCCAAGTCTGTAAAGTACAATTTACATTGTGTTCAAGCAAACTATTGACTTCACCGAATTGATTGTCTAGATGGTCCACTCCATTGAACACTTTTACGATGGAACAGTTCTTCTTGGAACCAACGTCTTTGGAAATCAGCTTTCGTTCTTTAGAAATGTATGTTTTCATTTCACTCGCAGTGTCACTAAAGTACAGTATTTTTAGTTTGAATGCTGTTTGGTAGAAGTCCTTCATATGACACCGCATTCCTTCTGCGAGTGTGATTTCTTTGCCATGGACCACATCGAAGTGATAGGTGATTTCCTCACTGCATGGGTCCCATATCTGATCATCAGTTTTAACTGGCTTGAATCGTCCACTCATAACCATATATATACACCACTCGTAAACCTAAAACACAATAATATAATCCTGTTAATTTTGTACATTTTTTTAAAAATTTCTTTTTATTTAAATTTTAATATAGAAATGTCAGTGCATGCATTTTATTTTCTATCTATGAATATCATGCAAATCATTATCAACTTTGTGAAAGTAGATGCCTCCTCCCAAAAAGTGGGGATTTTCCCAAATATCATGCTTTAAACATGTTAAATATGAAAATTAGAATTTCTTTCAATAAATTACT